TGTACATTAAGTTCCAATCCAATACTGTAAACTCCTCCCACTATCCAGAAATGAAGCCAATATGGGGAGGTCCCGCCCATATATAAGTGCTCGACCAATCGTGAGTCAGACTCAGCTGTCAATCAAGGCATTTCACCTCGTTTTATAGCATCAAATGATAATTAAAACATGTCGTCCATCTTTAACAGTCTCTGCTCACAGTCAGGAAAATACCCTAAAAGAGACCTGGATGACTTTAACAAGATATTTGTCTTTGAAATAAGAAATTTTGTTTGATTGAGTTAATTATTGTATTGTGTACTTGTATAACTCATGATCATCAACATGTATCTGCTCCACAGGCTCGGTGAGAGACAGGGGGAGTGTGGGTGGGCCTCAGGCAGGGATGAGTGGGTTCTATGCCAACAGGAAGTGAAGCGTCTGGCAGCTGGAAAACTGGAAAAACGTGTGAACAGGTGATGCATGTTTGTGCAGCAGCTCTGCCCATGTGTGTTGTTGTGATGTTACACAACTGCATTCAGGCAGAGACGCCTGAATGCACATGTCTCCATCACTTCAATTCTTAAATCGGTAGAAAACCAAGTTCTGGACACAGCAAGAAGAAAGCAAAGAGATTATATGATGCATGGCCTAGTTTTTATACTTGCTCAATCCCTCCTGTTGTCTTATCCCATCAGCAGGTGTGTGTGTGTGTGTGTGTGTGTGTGTGTGACTCATCTCATCATCCCCACAACTGGATCACATACACACACTAACGCACACACACATTAAATATACAAAAAAACACACACACATACACAAGCAGGGAGTGAAACAGACAACGTGCATTCACAGAAACACCCACACACACTTTACAATAACACGTTCAGCCACAGAAGAGACAGAGAGAGAGAGAGGAGCTCACCAGTTTGGATTCATACCCACAGAGATGAAGGCAGATCAATAGCTCCACAGGGAGAACATCGATGATCATTGATTATTGGAGGCTGGAGTCCGGTGGAGGGAGGACGCAGGGAGGTGTGATCGCTCAGAGTGGAGCAGCTCAGTCAGTCTGCAACCAGAGCAGCGTGTTCACACATGTGTCAAGTCAGAGGCTCACACACACAAGTACACGGATGTAGACTTTCAGAATAATCTGTCATGCTGCCATCTAGCAGACACAAAGTAAGAGCCCAAATGGTTTTTATTTATTTCTTAATATTCTTTATACTCTTTCTTAAAATAGGAAACAGTGTAAAATATAAGAGAATTAAAAAAATACACTAGAAAGGAAAATAATTGCAGTGCAGAGAAGTTAAATACTTTTTTTTTTAAGATTAATAAAATTTACCCAATTAAAAAACACTGTCTCACTATCATCCAGAGAAGATTTGATTGAAATTTAAAGTAAAAACGGGTTATTGGGTTGTAGGAAAAAACTGAAAGACCTTGTTATAATTTATAAAATGATAAGTAGCTTTTAAGAGGAGAGAAGGGGGAATTGGCATATTTTATTTTTAAAGGTATGACAGGAAACAGTATTTGTAATTTGGTCTGACTTGAAAAAAGAAAGAATCTTTGCATTGGAAACTCCT